AAGAAAACCCACCACCATTTATTAAAGAGTCTTCTTGTAAAATTTATCAACATTTTTTCTTTTTTTGGGGGGGGGGTCCGGTCATGGGGCCTGAACTCTGGGCCTGGGCGCTGTCCCTCAGCTCTTCAGCTCAAGGCTAGCGCTCTACCACTTGAGCCACAGCGCCACTTCCGGCTTTTTTCTTTTTGCTTATGTGGTGCTGAGGAATCGAATCCAGGGCCTCATGCATGCAAGGCAAGCGCTCTACCACTGAGCCACCTTCCCAGCCCTCATTTCTTTTTTTAAAAACATCTATAATCACACTGTCATTGCATTACTAGTATGTGAAACACATATAAAATAACTTCCTAATTCAGACATTGTAGTAACGTCTTTCTGTATAGCAAACTCAATGTTTAAAACAATCCTAAAGGAATTATTTTCCCATTTCTTACAAAAAAATCGGGGCTTGTAGGAGTTGAAAAATATATACCCAAGTCTAGATGGGTAGCAAGGTGGAGGACTGAAAATCTGGTACTTGGGCCTTTCTAGTTCCTAACATGTGATATTCCTATCATAACAGTTGATTGATATTATTAAAATGCCTCACTTTTTGTCTTTGTCTTTCAAATATGAGCAGTATTAAAAAAACAATTATTAGTTACTTATTTCAGAAAAATAATATCACTACTTACTAGGAGTCCAGTTACTAACCACAATTTAACACAGAATTATTAGAAATGTATATATATTCAAAACCTTGAATTTCAAGAAGTTATTTAACCATAATGCCTAAGGAATAATATTTTCCTGCCATGTATTTTTCGTAGAAATAGATGCTCATTCTAATCAAGTAGCCATTTTCTTCTTCCTTAGTTTATGAAAATGATGTAAAGTTCTACTAACATATTTTAGTTAGGTGACTGATGAATTGTAAAAGCTTATAGGTATGTTGCTGTGGTTTATAACTATGTTGTGGTTTTTCTAGTTATCTATTCATAAAATATTTGCAAATCATGTAGCAGTTCTATTACCAAAAAACATGGTGAAAAGAAGAATATGCATATTGCAAACAGAAAGATGGATAAACAAAAGAGGCAGACAGTAGCATATGTTCAAAGAACTAATCACAAATAAGCAGCATTCAGACTCAACTTATTCAAGTTATCTTTTGCTAAATTTTGTTTTATAGAAAACGTTTGTATTCTCTATTTCATTTTGTAGAAAAACTCTAAGTATCATAGCTATAAAAATATTATTGCTAGTTTAATTATAAAATAAATGGATGAGAGCTACATTTTACTTAAACTTACCAAGTTTAAAAAAATTTACTAGCCTCCAATAAAGTATAATAGGTGAAAATTCTATGAACACAAGCAGTTCTAGAAGTATTCTTTTTTTTTAACTTGTTTCATGTGAGTATAGACTTATGATTTAGAATCATGCTCACTTTAAAGCATAATTAGGCTTAAAGGAAAATACTTAAAAATTTTTAATCTATCTAAATTTAGACAATACAAAGCAAAAAACTTATTCTGTCAAATACATACTACATAAATTTTCTAAAATAATAAGCCTAAAAATAATATTGAAGAGATTCAACAGACTTAAAGATTTTTATCTGAACTTCTCAAACTGCATGAGTCTCACCATTTCTTACTTTTAATTAGTAAGAAATATTTAAATGATGGAAGATTTAATATTTAATTTTGGTAGGCACAGTAACCTTTTTAACCTTTCTTAGGGAACACTGACCCCTAAAGGTTCTAAATTTAAATAAGTTTCACAAATTTCTAAGTTTAAGTAGTACTCAGGCCTTGTTTTTGTCTGTATTATTATAAATATATGTAAACTTATTACAGACAGAATCATATATACATTAACTATTTGGAAATGATTTTTATGAATTATAAAGCCACTATATCATGCTTCCGTTAATAAAATCAATCAAAATTAATGTAAGAAATATTCAGAAATTTAGAACAATATTCTAAATAATTATACCAGAGATTTCTGACCTTAATGCTTTATTCTTATACAGCTAAGAAGTATAGTTGTCTAGGTATCCAGGAGGATTTGTATCAAAATACCAAAATCTGCAGATGCTCAAATCCCTTATACACAAAATGGCAAAGAAAGTATATATAACTTAATGTAACTCATTATCTTTCCCAATTCTTTAACCCCTCTCTAGATTATTTGTAATATCTAATACCATGTAAATAGTTATTACACTGCTTTATTTAGGGAATAAGTACATACAGGTTAAGTATTAGACACAATTTTTCCTAAACTATTTTCCACACACAGCTGGTTTAATTCTTGCATGTGAAGGTCCAACTGTAAATGCTAAAGACCTAAATTAATCAACCACATGACAATATGTTCTTTCTGACAGCTGTACTTACATAAGCATATATTCTTATTATGTCCTTTTATTTTATTTCTCAAAGACAGACAAAAGAGAATTTTTCCAAATGGAAAGTCTTCACAAAAAGGCCAAAACACCATTTACTTCTGAAGAGGAAAGAAGATAATGTGGCAATGAATACTCATTCATACCTGTTGTTTCCAATTATCTTACAAAACACATGCATCAGAGTTGTTTTAGCTATGTAAAGAATTTTGGACACAATTTTCAAGATGTTATGTACAAGAACAAAAATGTGTATGTCACTCATCTACTTAATCAACTTTTTTCATCTTAAAATACTTAACAATGTCTCTAAAATTAATCCAATTAAAATTGCCAGTATTTCTAATCATGAAATTTAAGGCAACAAAAATCACACAATTGTATAAAATGAGTTTCAACTCAATTTTGAAAAAAAATAGTTGAACAATATTAAATAAGGTAACTATTAACAAGAAAAGACTGTGAACATTTGTGTAAGATGGAACTTTGAAACATGAACCTTGCTATCAAGAGGAGTTTGCTGTAGAAACATATCAGTTACAACACCACTCAAAAGATAGTTTAATTTTATTTTTGATGCTTATTAATAGCCTCTTATTTCTATTTTTAATGTCAAAATTACCAATAAAAGGTATGTATTCTTAATATTTAGGTTGCATCTACTGTGGTCTATGTCTACAGAGCACTAAAGGCAACTATGTTTTCAACATGAAAACTTGCCTTTTCATAGCTTCAATGGCTCCTTCCTTGACATCTTTCCCAATTATTGTACATTTCTGAGAAGTACTTCTTCAGTAGCTTCTATCTCATTAGATTTATTAAAAATAATTATCTTGGCTCCTTAATTACTTTGGTTTCTAATTTGAATTATGACTTACATAGCAATGTGACCTATGAATAGGGAACATAAATAACAGACGTAGCATTCATTATTAGCTTATTTTTTTAATTTTCTACTAAAACAGTAGTATAAATTTTCTACTAAATTGAGTAGAATAGCTTTTGAGCTCTTAAAAAGGAAAATGTTTATTTATTCAAACAAGAGAATAAAAATACCTACAACAAATTAGGTTACCAGATTCACACCAATACATTCTCATTTCAAACTTGAATATATAGTGAGTGCCATACAAAATTAAGTGACCTGTAGTCCATGCTAAAACAGTTAACTTTAAAAACCTTGGTCAGATATTATGTACTAATGCTTCAATCATAATTAAGTCCATTCCCTGGATCCTAAACTCTAACAAGCAGCCTAGAGTCCAAAGGAAGTAGGAATATTACTAGTAAAAGCATAGAGAATCAGAAAGTTTATAACTCTGGAAAAAAAATGAGTGCAAGTATCAGAAAAAGCAAAAATTTATGAACTTATAAAGCATAGCATCTTTCTATACTGCAAATAAATGTGTAACTATTTCTTTAATATAATGATTATAGGACAGTTCCTCACAACAGTCTTCAAACTTCTAAAAATTTAACAACATGCTTGTTATGTAGTTTTAAAAAAGAGCCTTGTTGGGAGAGAGGAAATATAAAGATAGATATAAATGTCTTCATAATGGACATAAGTCTCCAGCTATATGTATTATGCATGAAATGATTCATTTCTTAAGACTTCCTAAGTTTCAGTATTTTATTACAACACATCTTGAATGACCTTCTACAGGTCCCATGTACATGCTGTGAGCTCTTGCTCTCTTCCACCCCGCCCCCCCATCTCTGTCTCTGTGTTTTAAACTGTTTCTGTTTTTGCTTTCTCTCTTTTCTTAGGCTACCACCCTCTCCTACACCTACCTGTATCTTCTGTATTTCCCTGTCTCTCTTGTTTCTGGAGTCTTTGTCTCCAGGTATACATCTCTGCACATTTCTCTCTGCCGCTCGAACTCTCTGAATTCCACTGATTTATCATTCAGTAATTGTCTCTGGATGGGTCTCATGGCATGTAAGTACCTACACCTCTGTCTCTTTGTATGTGTTCTGTCACTTCTATTTTGGATGTCTTCTATCTCTACCTCTGCCTTTATCTCTTTTGATGTATCTATTTTATTGTCTCTCTTCTATACTGCACATCTCTACCTTCTAGGACTCTTTTGGACTCTTACTCTGAGATCTTTCTCTGAGTGTGAGTGTGATGTGTGTGTGTGTGTGTGTGTGTGTGTGTGTGTGTGTGTGTTTGTCTGCCTCCATAAATGTGTCTGGATCTCTATGTGTCTTTGAGTACCATTCTGTGTCTCTTTGTTTCTAACTATACTTCTGATATTTCTCTTTGTCAGTCTTCTCTATTTTTTCTTTTACTTTACATTTCTTTTTTTCCCCTGCATATCTTTTTCCCTCGCTACTCTCATTCTTTCTTTTAATATGTCTCTTCCTCTGTGTGCCTGTATATGTCCCCATCTCTGTGTGTATATTGTATGTGTATGTGTCTCTTAGTGACTGTGGTAATATATGGACTTCTTTGTGTAGACCTCCTTTGTGTATGTTTGTGTGTGCATGCACATGTACACTTGTCAACTTCTGACATACTGGTTAGAACAAACACACTTCATTCAGTGCCTTGAACTGCCACAGCACCTGGGGCTTGGCATTAATACCTAAAAGTCCTTACCTTTTGACCAGACATCCATTTGTACTTCTATTCTTGTTTGCTCTGGCAATATCTCTGGTTTATGCTCCAAGACTGTAGCTAAAATAAAGCCAACTCTAGATAAATAAACTTTAAAAATATTAGACATTATTTATATCTTACCTTTGTTTAACAGAGAATTTACAGGATAAATGGTTTTCTAAGACATTTACAATAGAACAATTAACTATGTTATTTCAACAGGTGAAATTAAATCTTCCCCTCAAAAAAAAATCTTTTCTCCATAGTTATATTTTCCTAAGTACAATTTAGATTAAACTTTCAAACATCCTTGCGCCTGTGGTGATAGAACATTTATTTAATAAATATTCTCCAACTACAATGTCAAGCATTTAAGAAAATCTCATTAATGCTATAAATTTTACATTAAAAACTTCAAATTTATTGAATTGATTTACTATTTCTATATTCACATAAAATATTTAACACAAAAGCAATTTAAGATTTCTATGCTAATTTTCTTAAATAACATGAAGCCTTGCAAAATTATTATTTTTGTCTTGTATTTGTTTTAATAGTCAAGCTGATATGAGCTATGCAACTTTTTTTTTCTTTTCTTAGGTGTGCTTTTAAGGAGAATAAAATTAGATTTACCTCACAGCTAGACCCCTGAGTTCTTTAAAAAGTCCTCAAATAGAGCTGTAGTAAGCTTCTCCTTTTCCAATTTTCTCTAAATATGTTGATCTGGAGTTGGCAATCTTTTTCTAAGTTCCTCATTTACTTTTGGATTAGCTGAAAATATAGGAAGTTATTAATATCAAAGAAATATGTTCTAGTCAATGAAGCCATTTCCCTACATATTGCCTAAAAAGGTTAATAATAATTGCAGTATTTTAATAAGATATTCATATAGCAAGACATGTAGAAAATACAGTCTTTAATAACCTCTGGAGTATTTTAAAACATGTCTTACAGGCCTTAATGTGCTTAGTAATATACTATTTAAAACCATAATTTTATCCCTCTGCAATATACAGTCACTCTTCCTCATCATTTACCCAGCTAATGAATGCCAGCAATTAGCAAAATGTAATCCCATTGCACAATCATTTTAATGCTTTTAGCACTCAGAAAAGTAAACACCAAATTAATACTGCTCAAGCCATATCAGATCCTAGTTGGAAGCAAGCAATTATAGTTCAGCTCCTCAGGTGTAATTAAATGATTGGAATGATTTAGTTCCATAAATGCAAGTTAATTCATAAGCAAGCAACAAATATACTGGGAGTAATTACAAGAAACATTGACAGTCTAAGCAGGGCAAATGGTTCCATGAAGCTGCTGCAGTAAAATGCTGCCCTCTCCTGGGCATATAAGTGAATTACTCAGGGCCAAACAATTCAATAACAAACCTAACTTCAAGTCACCACACAAATTAACAATAACTAGCATTATCAGCTTGATTTTATTCCATCTATCAACATGCTTACATGTATGTTTTATGTTATGATAATTTGTAAACACATATATAATTATTTTTCCAATAATTCTCTGAATGAAGAGTACCAAAACATTAGACGATTCCTAAACTTATTTTGCTCAACACTAGCATTCTACCATTGGAGCACAGCTCTATTTCCAGCTTTTTAAATGCTTAGTACAGATAAGAGTTTCAGAGACATTCCTGTCTGAGCTGGCTTAAAACTGCAGTCCTCACATCTCAGGTTCCTGAGTAGCTAGGATTACAACCATGAGCCACTGCTAACTAGCTGATTTCTAAACTTTTAATGAAATCAAACAAGGCTCAGATAGCTCTGACAGAGTGTATGTAACATCTAGTACTTATGTAGACTGCCAGACTACACCTATGATCTCTCAATGACTGTTCCATGTTACAATTAAGCTATAGTTTCAAAAGTAATAAGATCTGCATGAAAATATGTGTTACTGTGGCTTTCTATAATGATTTAATTATTTTTTGATGACTTAAAATAATAAAAATTTAATCACCAGTGTAACTGCCACTATAAGCATTTTTTTTCTTTTTCTTTTTTTGTTGGTCATGGGACTTGAACTCTGGGTCTGGGCGCTATCCCTCAGCTTTTTAGCTCAAGGCAAGTGCTCTACCACTTGAACCACAGCACCACTTCCAGCTTTCTGAGTGGTTTATTGGAGATAAAAGTCTTGTGGGGTTGGCTTTGAACTGCGATCCTCAGATTCAGATTTCAACCCGAGTAGCCAGGATTACAGGCGTGAGCCACCGGCGCCCGGCCACTATCAGCATATTTTAAGACATAAAGAGAGCCAGGCTCTGGCTAAACTTTCAGAAGCTATGCTTTCAAAAGTTATGCTATACTCAATGTCTGTATTAAAAGCATGCATCTGTAATACAAATCCTAACCAGCACTATCCCTGTGCTTTTCTGCAGCACTGAGCATGTTCTCTAAGAAAATATTTCAATTTGTATAACAAATGGTTACTTCATGAATAAATGTCAATGATACTTGAAAAATACAATGTTTAATACAACATGAGTACCTTTAAGGAGGAGAGAGTATTAAATTAAGAGTCTTATAACTTATTTCTCAAATACACTAAACAACTATATTCTAAGTCATATTCTGTACAAACTATAAGAATAAAATAAAGCAAAATATTTAAAAGTCCTGTAACTAAGTTTAAAATGTACAGCACATTTGCTTTGCCCTTGGTGTCAGATTCTTATTTTTCAATTCATATCTTGTACACTGTAAGTTAATTGCTTTTGGAAAGTACTTATTATTCATGTAAAAATTAATGTGCCAATGTGTTTAAATCCTCTTAAATGACCATTCATGCATCTTTCTTCTTTAAGTACCAATGAAATCTGTCAAAAGACATCAATGCAAAATGATCCTAAAGAAAGTTCTAACAGAGATTTTTTTCTGCTAACACAGATTTTCATATTCACCAACTTTACTTAAAATCCATTAATTTTTTAAGCTACTTTTAATAAATTCACCAAGTAAAATTTTTAGGCCCCATAGTCTGTCATTTGTGTTCCAGCTGACATTATGAATATTAATAACAGTGTTATCCTGATTAAATAGGCTTCATATGAAATCCCTGTGAATCCTATAGCTCAGACATCTCATTTTTCCAACTCTTTATGAATTTGGATTCAGACATTAAACTGGAAAAATCTTAAAATACAGATTTAATGGCATATTTGCATATTCTTAAGCAAAAATTAGATGTTTAAATGACCAAAACAATTAAGACATCTACATATTATAACAGAAATAGATTTCTTTAACATATAACATATTTTATTTTTCTGTCCTCTTTAGGACAAAAGATTAAGGCTAAAAAAATGCTAATTCTTGCCCCTATCTTAAGGATTTAATATGAAGAACTTTAGGTAATATACATATATATATTTATATAAAGGAAAGTTGAATGACTTTATAGTAGACAATCAGATAAACTAGGCTCCTTAGTCAAAATGCTAACTTATTACAGACAAAGCAAGTTAACTGTTTTATTACTACTAATCTCCACCATTAGGTTCTAAGAGGCAAAATCAATTTCTCACTAAAATTATTAAACTGTATGTACTAGATAAAGTTACCTATGTTTTTCTGAAAAAAATCAAAAGCTAACATATTAACATCTGTTAAGTTAAAATCTTCCCTCCTACAGATTCCTAATCTTATTCTTCCAAATTATTTTTAATACTCAAAGGAATCGAGTTTTATTACATAGAATAAAAGGTGAATAAATAAGCAATTTTTTTCTATCTCTCTACATATATGGGAGTATCAATAACAGTTTCAGACTTTCATCTGTCAAAAAATGTAGATTGAACAAATTTAAATAAACATTCTCTGAAATGTAATTTAACTCTCTGTGTTTATTCAACATCAAAACACTTTGTAAAAATAATTAGCTTTGGCCAGTTTAAATTTTCTAATTTGCTTAAAAGTCATAATACTGACATTTAGCCATTAAAACTGAATAATGCCTTTTCATAGAAAATGTTTTTTTAACATAATTTCATTTTATTTTGTCTTTAGTTTCATCTAAATAGGTCTTATTTTCCCCTTTACCAGCCAAACACTCCTCAAAGAAGAAGAAAGACATTTCTTGATTTTATATCCTTTATTCTATCTTTTCTAATTGTTCTTTTGTGTTTTCCCAGTATCTTGACTTGAATATTATAAAGTCTTCAAACACTCAACAGCACAAGCATCACTTCTCAAACTTTACATACACTCAGCTCTCTGGAAACCTTGATGTGTATATTTTTATTCAGCTGGTCCTGGGAAAGCTTTCTATCAAGCTTATAGGTCATGGTGATGTTTTTCTGAGGGTCATGTGTGAAATAGGACAGGTCTACAATCTACCTCACCCTGGCTTCCCCATATAACAATGACCAATTTCTACAATGAAGCTGAAATCATTCCTGAAAGGAAGTGTAACTGTTTGGGACATGAATGAATTTACTAAGTTTGAACATTCATGATTGTTTTCTTTCAAACAATTCCTATTTTTTCAATGTATATGTTCTCCATTTAAAGCTGTCTGCCAAGACTCAAAGATGAAGAATCAATAATTCATTTACATATATTATTTTACAAATTATTTCACAAATAATTACTGAGTGTCTAAAATATCATCCAGGGCTTGGAATGTGGCTTAGTAGTAGAGTGCTTGCTAGCATGCATGAATCCCTGGGTTCGATTCCTGAGTATCACATAAACAGAAAAGGCCAGAAGTGGCACTGTGATTCAAGTGGTAGAGCGCTAGCTTTGAGCACAGAGAGGCTCCGGGACAGTGCCCAGGCCCTGAGTTCAAGCCCCAGCACTGGCAAAAAAAAAAAAAAATCCAAAGTATTTGGCTAGATTTTTTAGGATGTCTGTAATGAATACGGGAAAACGAAGGTATGTCTTAACATAAATAAATATATGTCTTAACATAAATAAATATATGTGTGTGTGTGTGTGTGTATCTTATGTGCTTATGTTTTTTTAAACCAAGCATCAAGCATTTGAGTTTGGCAATGGTAGCAACTCTGGTAATGCAGTTTCTGATTGCAAGTAATTGTGGCTATCAAGTAATGATAACTTGATTGAGTATGCACTTAGATTTGCATTAGGAAACACATTTCTAGAATAAGTATAGTCTCCCAAACTAATGTCTCTGAAAAAAAATCTGCCTATGAGTGGCAGCATAACTATAGCAGAATAAATTTTAATACTTATTTACATATCTCTATTTCATAAGCTATGAGTTTTACAGTATGAGACAACTGTATTTGTTACACAATGACTTAGTTTTAACATTAAACAGAAAAAAAAATGTGATCAAAGACCTATTTATTAAAGAACAGAAAAAATGTTCTAAAGGTCTACAATTATGGCCTTAAATTTATAGAAACATGTAGGTTATTTAACTGTAGATCACCTTATTTTGCTCATTTGTAGAATTCAAGTATTACCTGTCCTCTGAAAGAAAAGGAATTTTAAAATGGGATTTTGTTCCCAATAAAACTCAGAATTCTAAAAACGTATTTTAAGTAACTGATGCCTTTTTCACTAAAGCTACATTGTAGTAAAGGTATGGCAAGTTTTGAATGATGGAATTTTAAAAAATTACTATCTCCTAATTCAACCAAAAAAATTACATATGCCAAATCCAAGGTATAAACTGCATCATTTTAAATAGTAATTATAACAAGAAACTCTAAATTTTATGCTTCCTAGGTTAAAAAGTTTTGATAATTTCTATATTGAAATACTTTTATTAAAT